TATATACACCTTATTATTAGGGCCTATTCGCACTAGACTGACAAAGTTTGTCCGGCCCAACTAAAATACCTACCAACATTTGGCCCGGTCAAATTCTCTGTTTGTAAATCRCATTCGCACTACAGCGGCCCGTACACCAGCTACAACCATAAACGTCAATCAAATAACCTCTCGTATTTCTCACTTTGGCTATAACTTTCGGTATCTTGCTCAAAAATCGTGCCATTTCAATAATTAAGAGGTTTTTGGTTATGTATTTTACATTTACGAGCCTTTTAGATCCCTTTAGATCGTAAATTTATAAACTATCGTCTTAACAACACTAGGTGCTAATTGACAAATCTGTCCGTTTTGACGTTTGGCCTAGCTTTGGAGGGCTCCAGAGCAGCCTAGCGGTGACTTTGAAGATTGTTCGGCCATGACAAATTTTCTCCGGCCGAACAAACGCATTCGCACTTGTTTCCTGTTACCGTGGACAGTTTTTTTTTTGGTAAAACAAAGAAACTTTTGCCTAGTGCGTAAGCATCTTTACTGAATCACACCTTATTATCACTGAATCACAGCATTTATATACAGCCTATTATCACTGAATCACAGTATTTATATACACCTTATTATCACTGAAAAACAGTACTTAATATTTATTCTTTGCAYATCTTGAACGAATTTCATTATAAACTATGAAAGAAATATAGAAACTAACTCAAGTAAATTTTGACTGCATGATTGTTGCAATTTCCACGCATGCTTAAAAGGAAGTTCAGTATATATCTAGCAATACTGCAATAAAAACGTAACTTGTAGGAGTGTACAATAAAYTGCTAATAGGCAAATTGAATGCATTTTTTACCGTGTCCATACCGAAGGCCTGTAGCGACTTTATTTTTATTATTATGTAGAGTGTGTGTGTTCCCTGTGAAGTTTTTTAACCAGGACCCAGTCGCCAATCTTTATTTTGTTGTTGGACGGCTTGTGATAGTAGTTTTTCTTTTGTCGTAATTGTGCTGCTCCCGAGTTCCTTTTTGCCAGGTCACAAGCGAACTCCAATCGGCTACTGAGATCCTTGATAAACTTTGATTGCCAATACACACAAATGCTTGATAACGTTGGATTCAAAATTTCTGCCYTGGTCACTATGTAACCTTTCAGGAAAACCATAGTGAACGATGAATCGGTCGAACAGTACTTTAGCTGTAGTTCTAGCTGTCTGDTTAGCAGTTGGAATTGCCTGTGCATACCTTGTAA